GAGAAGAATACTTGAACAGAGTCTTTATAAGAATCGTTCATCTATCGAATGATTACTACTCCTATTGCGTGTGCTCTGCTTTTAGTTTGTGCGAAGCACATTTTTGTATGGAACATTAATATGAATGATCCATTAGTCACATGATTCTCTCACATTTTGTGTGTTATGAGCTGGAATCATTTATGTGCTAAATACTTGAATAGACGCTTTATATGAGTGTCCCTTTTGGTGTGCCGTCACAAAATATATCCTCCGTTCTACACCTTCTATTCGAAGGGAGCAAAGTACATGAATAGAAATATAATATAATTTATTCTTTTCTGATGTGACTTGTACTTACGATATTATATCGAATCGATGACTAAAGTGAATCTGTCATGTGAATTACACGTTAGTTAAAACTATACATGAACCGTAATACCGTCGAGCATATCATGCATTACAAATGTTTATTTTAGAGTGAAGAGTATATTTGCAATACAATTTTGTATGCGGAATCCATCTGCTGTGAGACTTTTTATGTGTAATTGTTTTCCAAGTACGGTATAAGCTGAACATATTACTTGAACAGAATTTTCAGATAACTAGTTCGCTTTCTATGACACTGTCTAATATAACCCTGGTTCCGAATAGTTGATTTCAAATGAACATGATATTTGAATAATATCAAAAAACTCTATGAACCATGCATCTATCTAATGTTTTACGGATAAAAATGATAGGTCATCTGAGTATTTTGTTCAATACGTCGTATTTGAATGAAAGTTTTGTTTAGATTCAGCTACTATATGCTTCTTAGTCTCATTGTCAAGTTTCTAGATTTTTCTTCAAATCAAACAACATGTTTGAATATCAGCTTGATACGAAGAGTTTATTTGTTACGTCATATTTCAACTTGCTAGAAGGTCACGGCTATCATTAATAAGAATGCAATAGTAATATGGAGTCTTTGTTGTTGGCACCATTCAAGTAACTAACAATCTACTCGCAATATGAGTGGCACATCTTAATGGTTACCTGTCAATGGTAAATCCGAAAACAGCTGTTCTACAGAGTTACCACAAAACATTTAATCAACACCTGCTTTATCAGTATAAACCTAGTGGTTTACAAAACAGTCAATATTAGAACGGAACTATGGTTTCAACATCCAATAGCTATGTGTTTATCGACTCTGTTAATTATTTTAGATATTAAGTTTCCTATAATCAAGAAATTTGAATACACCCTTATTTTGAACTGTTCTCTTCTCTTGTTATTTTCAGTCACGTTAAGAACAGCAAATGCTAAGCACAACTTCAAAAAATATACGAATCCACTATTTGTAAAGATTATTCATCTGCCATCGGATTCTCACTCGCATCATCATCCATCATCATAGACGAATTCAGATAACGACAATCGAATAGAAGATTCGTAAAAACTGTTCATCTGTTTCATGATCGGTGGACATTTGATGAATCCTCGATCTCTGATGTGAATCGAGCAAAATATTCGATGAGAAGGTTACTAAAAACTGTTCATCTGTTTCATGATCCGTGAGCATTTGATGAACTCTCGATCTCTGATGTGGATCGAGCAAAATATTCAAATAAAATATTCCTAAAAGCTGTTCATCTGTGCCATGATCGGTCAACATCTGATGAATCCTCGATCTCCATTGTGAACCGAGCAAAATATTTGAATTGAAACTTTATATGTACTATTCATCTGTTTCATGATCAGTGAACATTTGATGAACTGTCGATCTCTGATGTGAATTGAGCAAAATATTCGATGAGAAGGTTGCTAAAAACTGTTCATGTGTTTCGTGATCAGTGAATATTTGATGAATCCTTGATCTTTGATGTGAATCGAGCAAAATATTCGATGAGAAGGTTGCTAAAAACTGTTCATCTGTGCCATGACCGATGAACATTTGATAAATCCTTGATCTTTGATGTAAATCAAGCAAAGTATTCAAATAGAAGGTTCCTAAAAACTGTTTATCTGTTTCATGATCAGTGAACATTTGATGAACCCTGGATCTCTTATATGAATCGATCAAAATATTCGAAGAAAAGGTTGGTAAAAACTGTTCATCTGTGCTATGATCGATGAACATCTGATAAATCCTTGATCTTTGATGTTAATCAAGCAAAATATTCAAATAGAAGGTTCCTAAAAACTGTTTATCTGTTTCATGATCGATGAATATCTGATGAATCCTCGATCTCTAATGTGAATCGAGCAAAATATTTGAACAGAAGTTTATTCAAAACTGTTCATCAGTTTGATGATTGGTGAACATCTAATAAATGCTTAGCTTCTCATTTAAAGCCACTCTCTCATCGAATGGAGACATTGTTCGGTATGTTCGATCTTGATGTGAGCTTGAGTCACATTTAAAGTTGAATTTCATTGTATCCGAAATAGTGCAATATACGAACATAATTAAGCACATGGGTAAGTAGAGTTGTTACCAGTAATTTGATAGCAACTCATTTTCAAACAACAATATAAATACTTTTCTCTGAAATTAATCAATTTTTTTCGTTTATAGTAATAGAAACGATTGTACTGATACGCCAAACAATGAGAAAAGCAGAACTTTCAACAGTGAACTTCATTTTATGAATATTTTTAATTAGTTTACTAACATGTTTTTCATCAATACGCAATATTAGCATTCATTTTTCTTTTCGCTTTTTTTTCTATCTTTTTTTTCAAATAAATACTCTAGTTAGCTCAAATTTTCAATAATTATTATGATGTCGAAAAAAGAAAAAGGTGTGAATCCCTCAAGTTACCACAATACAAATTTTTTATATTTCGATTTTACGAGAAATCTTGTCAAGTGGTAAGTATCTGTACAAATGATTCAACTGTAGAGGTCGAAATCAAATTCAAAATACTCAAAATTCAACTCGAAAGTCGAATAAGAAGCTCTTACAATGGAGGTGTTCGTACTGTCCGTGAGAAAACTGGCACATATTCGGCTCAAATTAAAGGTCTCACTGCCAAACTAACGAGGTTAAAATATAGGCTGTCCTTGGCTCACCTAGAGAGAGATATTCGATTTTTACGTTAGTCATTTTTAACTATATAGAACTATTAGGATAATTTACATTAATTTTTTACACAATCAACTCAGTAATTTAAAAATAGACTTTAAGAATCTTTCTTAAATATATCAATATCATTAAGAGCACATTAGCTTCGATGTCATCCGAACCTAAAGGAGTATTGAAATGAAAAAAGATATTTGATGCCTTTGAAAAATGGCTTATACAGTTAATTATTGAATTTAAAGTGCATTGATGCATTATTTGATTGTCTAAAAGTCTGTTCGCATTTTATGCAATCGTTGATGAAGGCAGATAGACGACGCATAAATAGTTATCACGTGCTTCTTTCTTACTTTTACTAACGCCTATGCTGGTATAGAAGAGAGGGTTTTACACAGAAAAAATAAAACCTTAATATATGAAGATTTTCTATGATTGTTTCTTTGCAATTGGTGTTAAGTAATCACAAATAAATATACTATCTAATACTTATTCTCTTATTCTCTGCTATATGTACCGTGTAAAAAGATTTATTTCACCAAATTAAAACATGAATCTATTGGATATCGCTAAACATCTTCTATATTTGTTTCAAACTGAATATAGATCGGAAAGTTCTGTGACTACTACTGATGATATTTTTGCATCACAACAATTGTTCGAAGTTCTGAAGTCATTCAAAGACAACTACTTCAATGAGCTTCATAGTTATGATACTCTTGAATTCGCTGATGAATTTGAAGAAAGAATTAATCAAGGAGAGGGTGATGGTGGAATTCACGATTACAATCAGAATGAACATTCTTATATTAACAATCATTTCACATTAAAAGCAATGGAAAATATAATCGAATGGGTTGATCAACATCCGAATGCGAGATTGGCAACTGTTTCCCATGGATTTAGAAAAATTAAATCCATGAAGTATATTACAAGGTTCAAAGAATATGTTGAAAGCAATGATACAAGATTAGAAAAATTAAAACAAATTAAGGAATTTATGTATAAACAATTCTATTTGAAAAGAACAATATGGAAAAAGAAGCTATTTACGACGCTGATCTAGAATTGTATGCAATTCAAAAAGCAAAAGAATTAAATTAGGATACATACAAGGCGAGCAAATCGTTTATTAATGCTTTTAAAAGAGAAAACAGAATATCATCAAGAAGATACAACAAAATTATTACTCGAACTAAATCAAACAGAAAAGTCTACATTTGAATGGTGATTAAATTTTTATTTGGTCCTTTTAAATACGTACATGTTAATGTAACCTACATATATATTTTAGATGCTCAAAACTGGATTGAAAGTAAAAGAACATTAATATCAAAATATTCTTCTTATCAAATTTTAAACAGTGACCACTGTTCATTCCCGCAAGAATATGTCTCTTCACGAACTCTTTCTTTTACTGGTAAAAGAACAACTAAAGTAGCTGTTAGAAAAAGGCATCTCATCACGCATTCATATACAGAACAGCCTGTTACATCAGCTGAGGGTGTCGGTGTCTGTGGGTGTGGGCAGTGGCCGCGCGAAGGGTCTATGATTGGGGGAGGGGGGAGTAAATGTTCTAATAACTTTTGACAGATATATGCAGAACGAAAAATTCTCTAACGACAACAGAATTCACAGCATCAAATGAAATACTGTTTATGTTTCAAAAAAATCTACAATAAAAAAAAAGAAAACAAATATGTTTATTATTTAATGTTCACATGATTGAAGAGAACACAAAAATACAAAAAAATGATGCTTTGATTTAAATAAATATTACTATGGAAGTTCAATGTGTCTGTCTTTCATCTTCGCCCAACCTTTTGCCAAGTCATGTACGTTGACTTCATCAAGATAATCTTTTTCAATAGCACATAACATGAAGTAAAACAATCGTTCATCAGTCATAGTTGTTCGAAGATAATTTTTGATAATTTTTAATTTACTAAATGATCAAACATTGGAAGCAATTGAAACTGGTATAGTAAGTAAATATTGAAAAACTTTTTGAGCTAGTGGATAAGCATCAGCCACAGCAATTGTATTAAATACATTTGTAATATTGTTGGATTTCACAATTTTCGGTTTGAGAAGTTGCATTTCGAAAAATAACAAGTCATAACCATCAATACCGGAAACAATTGAGCATATTTTTTCTGCATCTTCTCGAGAAAACAGATTAATTCGTGTTGGTGATAGATGGGCAAAATATTTAAGATTTGTTGTTAAAACCGATAAATAATCTTTAAATTCGTCGTGTATATTCATAATCATTTGTCGAAAAATAATTTGATAATGTTCTTGTCTACTGAGCAACAAAGTTTAACGTGTGATTTATAGAATATTATTATATCTTACTTATACATCGTTTTTAAACTTGTATTACGACGCTACGTTGAAGACATTGAAATTCTGTATTCAAATCAATATTTACACTAAAATTTTCGAGATCTTTTTTAGACACGTAACAAATAAAAATTTATTTAAAGCCTGCAAACAGAAAATGAGTTTACCTATTTCAATGATAGTATTAAGAGACGCATGATCATCATGCATTTCATGAAAAAGGTTAATTGTATCTCCCATGATATCAATTGCTGTTAGGGTGTTGGTGTGGGTGTGGATGTAGGTCTGGGAGTAGGATGGGTGTGGGTGTGTGAGTGTGGCTGTGGATGTGGATGTGGGTGTTCTATCTTCAGCAACACCCCTACCCACACCCACAACCGCACTCCACACCCACCCACCTCACATCCACACCCTACTCACGTAACTCAATTAGCATCATCATGACATTTTAATTTTAACAATAAATAAATGAACTGTAAGCTAGTACAATGAAAGTATAAATTTAGTGAACTTCAGTTTAAAAAAGACCACATTTTACCTTTTTCATCAATACCATCAGATTTTCAAATATTGATAAAAGAAAAACTATTGAGAAAAGATAAAATAATTGTTCAGATTATGATTGTTTACTTTTCAACTGCTAACATGAATTATATGTTGTAAAGCAATTTCTCTTGTCTATTATTTAGAAACTTCATATGCAATAATTGTATATAGTGGTGAGAAAAGAGGAGCCGATACAGATAGTCAAGTTTATATAACATTATTTGGAAATAATGGAAAACGAACAAATAAAATTCATTTAAAAAATTCTAACAATAAAGATCTATTTAAACGACGTCAAGCAGATAAATTTTGTATTAAAGGTGATTATATTGGAGAATCAACAAAACCTCTTATTAAAAATGATAATATTGGTCGACTACCTGGATGGTTTCTTGATCAAGTATGAATATTTATTTTGTGATTTTTTTTTATTTCATTGAAAATATTTCTATTTTATTTTATCAAATTTTTATAATAGATCTTTCAGATTCAGAAACAACATATTTTGCAATAGGTAATGAAGGGTTAGCAAAAGATGAATGTGATCGACAGATATTTCGAGATCTTATATTAAATAAACAATCATATGAAATACAAAAAAGTAAGAAAAGCAATTTCAATTGATATTTTTAAAAATATATTTGCTTATTATTTATAGATAATCAATATAAAATTATAGGTTATATTGAAAATGAAAGAGATGCTGGAACCGATGCTAATGTATTCATTACTCTTTATAGTAATTTAGGTGAAACAAGTGCGATTATGCTAGATAATCAAAACAATAATTTTGAATCTGAAAAGATTTATACAATACTATCTATGATGAAAAGAATGTTTTTTTCTTTTAATAGAAAAGATGAATTTACAATTGAATGTCCAACTACTGGTGAATTGAATAAAATTTTAATCGCACATAATAATTAAGGTCTTGCACGTGATTGGTTTCTGAATCGAATATTAATTGAAGATGTTAATGCACATCATACATATGAATTTCCATGTAACAGATGGTTAGCACAAGATGAAGATGATAAACAAATAGCTCGTTTTCTTTTTCCAAAACAGTCAACTAACCATGAAAATAATCAATAGCAAGTAAATCATGTTTTACATTAAAAGAAAAACAAAGAATTAAATCCTTTTTCTTTTATCAATTTTCAGCTATGCGTATAGATAACGCTAAGTAAAAAGAAAATATCGATATTCGATTAAATTATTGTTATTATTATCAAATATAACGAAAGAAAATAAATGTATATATTTCTTGGTTTTTTAAATGTTTTTTATAATATCAAAGTTTATACAGGTGATAGAATCAATACTGGTACAAATTCACGAGTTTATATAATTATGCATGGAGAAAATTCCTCGTCAATGCAAATATTCTTGAGAAATGGAAATTTAAAAAAAATATCGATCGATAAATCTATAATTTAATTTCAAATAATCTTAGTCCATTAACAGCATTGGATATTGCACATGATAATAGTGGATTTGTATCTGAATGGTATCTTGATAAGGTTTGTTCAGATTTTTTTAAAGAATATCTGTTTGATCAAAACCAGGAGTGCAAGATTAACAGAAAATTTTATATATGAAAGTCACAAGTAGAACAGTAAACAATTCTCCTTTTTTTAAACACTTTTTCTTTCAAAACTATTTTATGCTTTTCATCATTGATGAATTGCTCGATGAGTATAGGTAGAGATTTATAGACCTATAGAGATAAACAACTGTGGAAGTATTAAGCATAGAAACAATAACTCCTTCCGCACAGGCTTTTCTTTTCGAGGTTTTTACCTTCACACTAACGATACTCTGTATCTTGATGTTTCTCTACCGCTATTTTGCTACAAATTGATGTTCTTTCAAAGAATTAGAATTTGCGACGAATTAAAATACACCATCAGATGCCTAATATACCGCTATTTCTTTTTCAAGTTTTTCATTGAATTTTTTTAATATGTAATCGATGTTTATTGTTACACATCTGATTCGATTGATAGATGCTTTGTTGTTATTTAAATATTCTACTACTATTGTGTAAAACTTACGAAGTGATATAAATATTATATAAATAATGCATATCAAAATGACCATGAAGTTGTCATTAGGTTATCAGTTTTTCTAATAGTTATGCTCAGCTTATAAGCTCTGTAGAATAAAAAAAGAAGAAAATTGCCCTGTAATAGTCTCTAGTTCGAACGATTTATTTACTAATGAATCTTCTCATAGATTGATATTTGAAATATATATAAGTATCCTCTGACTTATATTGAATATTAATACATGAAGCAACGATATAAATAGATCGACTTTTCTCAAATGTTGTCTTGTAAATTTGTTTTAATATTAGTATTAGGAAAATAAATGTATAATAATAGTACGAAAGAACATTATTCATCATATGTGAATTAAGTAAAAAACATTCAATAATGGCTTAGACTCTAGGAAAATAATAACATTGAAATCTGGCTGATGAAATGTTATTAAGTTAAAAAATGAAGAGCAATGACTTTCGCTTATAAGAATAAATTTCAAAAAGAAGTTTCAAGTAAAAAATAACACACTTTCAGATAGATCTAATGATTGATTACTGATCTTCAGTAGCATTTAATATAATCTATTTATTATTCTCAGAAAAAACTAAAATCTAATTCATATCTTGAGCTATAATTCCTCTTTCATTGGACAAAGACGAAAAATAACATTGATACATTGAATAACAAATACTATTAAACATTTCACGTTATTATCGAATGCCCAATTACAGGTATTAAACAAACATTTCCTTGCGATAATTGATTAGTTAATGATGAGGATGATTGACATATTGAATGTCGATTAAAAGAAGATTTATCATTACGTAAAACTCTTTGACCAAGTAAATACATTAAACATTACTTTTCATCTATGTATTTGGTTCATTTAGGTGTTCCATGCAGAGTGGCCAGATCTTCCGATTTGGCAGGAAAAATTCCAATTTTTGAAGTTTTTTCCGATGACTTTCCGACCTTCCGATTTCTTCCGATTTTCGAACTTTTTTCCGATTACTTTCTGATTTTTGATTTTTTCCTGATTTTTGGGATTTTTTTTCTACATTCAATCTCTTTTGGGTATCTAACAAAAATTTGACTATAACCAGAATCGCTAGATCTCCTATTTAGAAGGAAAAATTTAGATTTTTGAATATTTCTCTAATCACTTTATGGTTTTTTTTGGTTGTTTCTGACTTTTCAATTTTTTTCTGATTTTGTTTCAATTTTGTTCTTTTGTTTGAGTATTTTGAAATGTACATGGTGATCCAAAAGTCACTTCATCGAAGAAAAAAATTGAAAATCTTCGCTATATTTTGATTAAATGAACTAATTCTTTCATTAGTAATAAAGGAGTGTTCACAGGTCATATTAATAAGGAAAACACTGACAAACACTGCTTCAAAGTATCATCGTTAACTTCAATCAAAAGCTATAACGTTTCGAACTATAAAAGAATTATATCAAAGTTTTCTCAACAAATTCTTAATGTTTATAATGAAAACTTTCAGGATACAATGAATAAAAAGATATGTGTCTCGTGTATAAATTCCCATCAAACGATAATATCGAACATTAATAGAAAAAATGATGTATAGTTTACTTTTTGCCAAAGTAACAATTACTTTGTTTTTTTCATAACTCGTAAAAGATTCCAGTTCTTTTTTGAAGTCAATGATGATATTTTAAAGCAGTATTTGTCAATGTCTCTTATAAATATAATCTAGGGACATTTTATTATTAGTGATAAAACAATCAGCTTACATTCTCAAAATATGATGGAGATATTCATTTTTTTTTCTTCAGCAAAGTGATCTTTGAACCATACTGTATGCATGTAGTTTATCTTTTGCTTCTTTTTTTTTCGTGAAATTTGTTCAGAGGTTGTCGGAAAAAGAATACTGTCAAACTAAATAGCTTTCGTGAGTTGT